TTTAAAAGGACTCCCAGCCCGAGCACTCATTGTCGGATCATTGTTTGCTCTTGGCTACGGTCATGTTTGTTTGTTGCCGTTTGTCTGCTGCTGTCAGGTTTGTTTAGGTCATGTTTTGGTCACGGTTCTGTTTTAGCTTCAGTTGTGATTTTTGTTTGCTACTTTGGACTATATTTGTTTTGGATTTAGTTTTCTCTGTTTCAATACACTTAAAGTACAACCTGCTCCTCCCTCCTGCCTGCTTTTTGGGGTCCACCACGCAAACGTGACACATTTGCTCAAATAAGGTACATGTGTTATGGATTTTCTCCGGGTACTCCAGTTTCCTCCCACATTCCAAAAACACGCATGGCAGGTTGATTGAGTGCACTAAATAAAAATCCGTAGGTGTGAGTGTGAGCGTGTATGGTTGTTTGTGTGCCCTGCCATTAGCTAGCAACCAGTTTAGGATGTACCACGCCTAGTACCCGAAGACAGCTGGCATCGGCTCCTGCATGCCCGCATGCCTCGTGAGGATAAAGCAATTGGATAATGGATGGATATTGTCTTTGCTTCCCACATTAGCAAATCTAAATGTAGAAGTTGAATATTTAATTTCGTTCCACTCTCAAGTTCTCTATGTAGTCCAAAATTTGAGTATGTCGAACTCAGGGTGTCGGAACTTATTCATTTGTCAAACAGCAACCATGGGAATTCGCTCATCCACTCGACGTGCTTTGTGAACTCAGGACTTTGTGAAGTCTCGAGTCTCACCACCTGTGAGAGGGGACAAAAAGGTCGGGTGCAATGTGAGCTTGTCGGCAGCCGAAGGCAGGGACCTTGGCAGTCTGATCCTCAGCTCCAGAAGCTCTCTCACAGGGAAAAAGTCCGAGCTGGTGTGAGAGGTTGAGAAACTACGACTACATATACTGTAGTCAACCTCTCATCGACACAGTGCCCGGGCTGTGGTTCCAGTCCTCTTCAGAGGACTTGTTTTTGTTTGGTGTGTTGTGCCTTGTTGTATTGTTTTGTCATATTTGTCAGCAACTCCCTAGTGTGTCTTCGGGACCACTGCCTCTTGATTAGTGCAGCCAAATTAGTTCCTCGCCATAACCATCATCTATCCAGTTCATTCGTGTGTTGAGGAACTTCACCATAATTCGTTTTGGTTCATTCATTTCCAATATTTATTCGGGCTTCATTCAGGCAGTGGGAATTCGGGAATGTTTATTCCAACCTCGTCCTATTGTGTTGCTTGTCCTCCCCCCGTGATAGTACTCGCATGTCCCCCCGTGATAGTACTCGTTTTTCTTCCCCTGTACTAATACTTGCTTGGCCCCACCGTGATAGGATTTTTTTTAAATCCCAAAGTTCTTTTCTCTGATTAGGGGTCCTTGGCTGACAAAATATTTCACAGGGTCCATCCATCCATCCATCCATCCATCCATCGATCCATCCATCCATCATCCATCCATCCATCCATTTTTAACGCTGCTAATCCGGAACAAGGTTGCGGGCGGGTGCTGGAGCCTATAACAGCTGACTGTGGGCAAAAGGCACACTAAACCCTGAACTGGTCACCAGTCAGTTGCACAGCACATATTGAGACGAACAACCATTCACACACAAGTCAGGCGAGTGTACCACTACACCATCAGCGACTCCGACAGGAAGCGTCATTGAAAAACAGTTGAGAACCACTAAGTCAAGGAATACTGAAAATGGTGAGTGAATTTCTCTCGATTTATAAGTTGTAGATCTTTATTTTTTGATAAAACATTAAGATACAATTGTCTGGCAACTAGTTGAAGTTGTACCCCTCCTATGGCCCGAAGGCAGCTCGGATAGGCTCCAGCACGCCCGTGACCCTCGTGAGGATAAGCGGATCAGACAATGAATGGATGAAATAAACAATACGATTAATAAAGGTAAATGTAAATTGAACTTTGATTTTATGTAATGTTTTGAGTTCTGTGTACTTGCAGTGTAGGACTGGCTACTAGCCAGGATCTGAACCAATCTAAATTGTGACCACTTATGCCCAGAAGGTGCTGTAACCGAGGCAGTAAGATCATGTTTTCCATCGTGTTAAATGTCACAGTGAGGTTCAGTGGGACAAAATATACGCATACTCCAAAGTTATTTTCCAGGAAAATGTCCTTGAAAACTCGAAGGTCAACTCTGTCTTTTGCATTTGCAATTGCATCTGCATGTGCATTTTAAACCCACAGTGGAAGACATTTTCATCCAGGAAAGCCTTGAACTGCGTGCGCATGACTTTTTTCCAGGACTTTGACATCAGAGGTAACTTTGGGTGTAAAATTTGCAAGCCCGCTATGATCAAGGTTAAGTTTCTTAACTCATTTAACACACAAGACGGGTATATACATCTATACCTCTCCAAAAACTTAGTCCTTGCCAAGCCAGTTACTTATAGAGATGTCTCTTATGTTTGTATTAAATGTGACTTCACACTGCAACAATAAAATATACATGTGCAATTGCATGTAGAATTGGTGTGGATCATTTGGCTGGCAGCCAAAAACATCCCCTTCCAGCAACCACTGAACACTGCTGCACAGCTGACTCTGATCAGCCAGCTGACTTCCTATAGCGGCTCATAACCGACGAGCTGCCATCACTAAAAAGGCCACACCACAATGAAAATGCCGGGTCTGCTTGCGGCAAGGCAAGCGCAGTTAAAACTAAAATGTGGTGTGAAACAAGTAAATTGTTTTATTTTGGACAAGTACTACACACACACACACACACACACACACACACACACAAAACTGTGTGTGCAATTTATAGGGTGGAAGGAAAGGATGCATTGCAAGCAGGTCGCAAGATGATGAATGGAAGGAAACCCTGCAGGTTGTTGCTGTGGCATATTAACTGCGCAGCAATTCATTCATTTTATTTTTTTTCCCCCCACTCTGCCCATCCAGGCCAGTCTGATGGCCAGTCCATGCCTGATACTGGGGCACAGCTCATTGTTACTGGGGCAAGTGCCCCACTAAGCGCAACAGCTCTGATCACAAGCTGCAATTGCAGACTGCTGAGCGCTAACAACTTCCAGTGACGCAGGTCACGCGCCACCGTAGGTTAAAGATTTACCTGGTTTATTTTATTTTATTTTTTTAATACTTTTTGTGAAAATGAGACTGATAGGATGATTAGGGTGCAGTGTACATTAACATAAAACAATATATTACTGACATGCACAAAGACACACAAATGGTTTGTTTTTTTTTCCTCCTCTACGCCCCTCGCGATCGAATTCGGACCAGTCCGCGATCTACTAGTCGATCGCGATCGATGTAATGGGCACCCATTTAAAGCATTAATCTGATGCATTTTAAGAGAAAAATTAAAAAAAACAAAGAGACAGACAAAGCTTGGATGGAGTGATAGAGTATATTTGCTTGCTTGTTTTTGGTAAAATGTGTGAAATGGGAAATAAAACGGGACACATTGAGCTTATGAAGGCAACATTTGTAGGGGTATCTTCACACACCACCTCACTCACTTCGCCTCCATCTCACTCACACACACACACACACACACACACACACACACACACACACACACACACACACACACACACACACTAATTATGATATGACACTTATGGAATTTAAACAGTGAATCTGTGTGTGATTTGGAAAGGAAGTGGAACTCACATTAGCGGTGAGGTAGCATGCAACCAGCGCCACCAAAGCACGGCACCAGAGGACTCTTGACAGACAAGTCAAAGCTCAAACTCTTCTTTGCAAATGTTATTTAAACCCTTTCATGCACCAATAATGACAACCTGTATCTTGTTCACATGATGTCTACTGTGGCAACCGCTGTCCCTGAAATAACATTGCTTCAGTTCAGTTCCTGCAACTCCCCTTGACAGTAGAATCAGAACCATTTGCTCAGAACGACTGCGGGATTGGAGTCAGGTGGTCCATTGAGCTACTCTACATTATGACAATTTATCCACTTGTTGCAGTGAGGGCTGTTTTTTATTTTATTTTTTTAACTCGTCTCTTGCCAGACACGCAAACATGTTTGAAGTTCCATGACAAATTCTGGTAGACCTTCACGTCTCACCCATAACCCAAAAAAATTAATCGCTCCACCATTCAAGTAGGTTACCTATTTTGGTGTCAAAATTCTGAATTTTGCTGACAAGTGGGTATATTTTCATGCCTGTCAAAGGAAACCGATGGTGCTTAAATTCCACTTTGATGTCTTTTTCACTTATGGCCCAACAAAGGTACCAAGCCTGATAATATTGCTCTCATATTGGGATCATATTCTCTAAATGTAAACGGTTATAAGCCATTTGACTTTTTTATTTTTTAATGGCCGAAGGTGTTTTATAAAATAAATAAACACAAAAGTTCTATTTGTTGTGTTTTTTTTAAGGCTGATTCGAAAAAAACGATCTGATCCATGACTCAAAACTGTGATACGATTCAAAACTGGAGTTTTTTTTTTAATCTATTGCACCCTTAATTAGAGGTATGAATCTCTCCAATCAAAGACAATTCCGTATATATCTCTACAAGGGGTGATTCGATTCTGTGGGATTACAATACTACTCAGTATAGTATAGATCAGTTTGTGAAGGCATTGACTACATTTTACTCTTAAAAGACAATTCAAAGGGGAATAAAATATTCACTGTAAACCACTAAAGCGGGAGTAAATCAAATCAGAATGGATCAAAGTAGCACATTAAGCTCTTACCATTGCAAAATGAGGTATAACTTCTGTTCTCATCAAATAAATGTTGGTTGAAATAGTTTTGAGTACAATTAATCCACTTTACTTTGGGTCAAATTGAATATTTTACTTCCAAGTGTAAATCTCACTCGGCTTAGACTGGAAACAAATATAGTCCTTTTAGAATAAAATGCACAAAATATACTGTGAAATAATAATAAAAAATGTAGTTAGATAGCGTCACAATTGTTGAGGTCTAGATATGTATTTTTCTTTTTTTCAAGAAAGAATTGGTGCATTACCTTGAGTGTCATATATGCTTTGGATGATGTCGTCAGTGTCCAGCGGGTCATCATGGGAAAAAGGATACGTTTTAATGGTTAGGTCAGTCATCAGATGATATATCCCCTCCACAGTGAAGTAACAGTTCCGCTCCTCCTTGTCGTCTTCATAGATCAGGAAGGCGGTCTTCCATGAAAAGTGCTTGAAAATTGCGCTGAAGGTTTCTGCCATCTTTACATAGGATGGTGCGATGCGCGTGAGGTGGGAGAATTCGGTGTTTTTGTTGCTAAAACCTGCGGCCAAGGCACCTGCTGAGATCACCGGAATATTCCAGTGTGACGCCAGTCTCACCACGGCTGCCGCTTCGTACTCGCATACTGGACCCAAAATCAGATCGGGCTTCTTCACACACGCCCTGTCCACCAAGTGGAAGAGCGCATCATTGACACAATTGGAATTCTCAAAGTGGATGTTGAAATGGAAGTCGGAGTAGGGGGCTCCGGCAGTCTTCAGCTTCAACTGAGCATAACGAATCGCCGGGGCGACCCTCGCGTATGAAAAAAGATAAGTGTCATTTTTGGGCAAAAATACCACCACATCTATTTCATCGCTCATGGTATTGGTCAGAGCTTGGTGAGAGAAGAGAAAAAAGTACACCCCCAGCGTGCTGAAAAGTGACATGCTGCGACGTATGCCTTCAAGTCGCAAGTCTGTGAAACAAAAATTGTTGGCTCAACCGCTTTCCCCTCAAGGCTCCAGTTGCCAGTGCACTTGCAGACGCAAACTAAAAGAACCACGGTGACGAAATACAGTAGTTCAGTTATAATTTACTCTTCAAAAAAATCTTCCAAAGTGCGTGTTTTATTTTGAATTTAGATGTCCATCGAGAACTCTTCAACCTGTTTTCAAATGATCTTCTCTCCACTCTTTCCTTGCCCGATTACTCAGACAGTGGTCACCATGCACTCACGCTGACTGTGGCCTGGAGTTTTGAAGCATCGTCTTGGGCTCCGTCGTGCGTCATTGGAACGCTCCCCACCTCCTTCTTAAAGCTACAAGGCAGTAGTGCCCAGTCAACCTGGCAAAACCTGTATTCAGTACTGTTAGAATTGTGTGTGTGTGTGTGTGTGTGTGGGGGGTTCTCTCCTTATTCGACTGTTAGCCTTCCTGTTAAAATATGTGGTGGCTAACAGTTGATTATTATATTAATTAATAGATATTTAATTTTGCATTTTTGTGTATTTTCTTAATATCAAACTTAATCTGTGAAGTATTCTTAAAACCGAATGATCAAAATGTGTCCAACCTCACACGCACACACACACACACACACACACACACACACACACATACACACACACGCACACACACACACACACACACACACACACGCGCGCGCGCACGCAATCAAGTATTGTATGTCATGATTTATTTAGTTATGAATGAATATACAGGTTTACAAATGGGGCAGTGGTATTGTGGGAGGGTGTAATTTAATACATTTTGTTTTGTGTCATGTTGCGTGATGGTAATGGACACAAAGTGTAAAGGGAGCTGATGAGTGGACAAAAAGGATCCGGATGACAAAAACAGGTGGAAATAAAACCAAACAAGGAAGACAAATGCACATGAGGAAACAAAACTATGAAAAAAAAACTAAACAGAATCATGACAATCAGGGGCGTCACTAGGTTTCAAGAACAAGGGGGGCTTAGCCCCAAGGGGAATGCAACAAAGAGTCGCTTGCATGTCGCCGTTTTGGATCCAATGACAGAAAATAGCGGTGCGGATACATCTATTTCGTCGTATCGAGCGGGACTTACTTGATTTAGTGCTACTGCGGGCTTCCGTATCGTCTCCCCCTCCCTCCCTGTGCTCTGCGACTTCAAGTAACTGCGCCACCTGGCGTTTAAATGCCTGTATTACAAGTCCAAATGAAATTAATGCAATAATTTACATCGAACCATAATTATGTACTGTACCAACCTTCGGCGGGCCGGATGAAAAAGACCAACGGGCCGGATCCGGCCCGCGGGCCGTAGTTTGCCCATGTCTGTGATAGACTCACCTGTCCAGCAGAGCCCCCCCCCGCTCACTCTCTGTGCGTCTTTAGCCTGATTCCTATCAAATAAATACATTTATTTATTTTATATAGGCCAAAATCTCAATAGGTGTTGCCTCAAAGAGTTGGTGTAATGATTATTTATGTATTTAATAATAAAATGATGCTTAATTTTTATTAAGCACCACCTTAATTTATCCAAAAGTGAACACTTTGTTACAGTGCAGTTTCTGCTGTTACTGGAGATATTTTAGCGGACTATAGTCACTAGTTTTACCAGCATGGATGCATTGAATACTTAATTTACCTTTCTAAAAAACTGTCGAATATCCATGCTGTCGACTCAACCTGACTTTCGGCAATGAACTGTCAGTTGTTGCGTTAGCATTTGATGTGGCGATGGTGACAGACACGTCAAATGCAAACGCAACACCTGTTGCGTTCAGGAAACCTGGGAGATTTAACATTACAATAATGGCAGGGTATCGAAATATAATTTAAAATGGCCACATTACATTGAATTTGATGCAATATATGAGCAAAAGTACAGGAAAAATAAATAATACTTTTTTTTAAATAATGCAATGAAATTATTTAGGGGGGCTAAAGACATTTTTAGGGAGGCTGAAGCCTCCCTAAAATAGGCCTAATGACGCCCATGATGACAATGCTTCTCCCTCAAGGGACAGATCCCAGACATCCCAAAGTCAAGTAGTGGCGGCTACAGGACGTGCACCGCCGGAACAAAGACGACGAGTAGCAGCTGCAGGCCGTGCACAGCGGGAATAGGATGGCTATGGGATCAGGCATCTGGTCCTGCAGGGTCAATTTTTGGTCGGACAGTTGCATGATGGTAGTGGAGCCAAAACAGCAGGGAGGCAGGAGAACCAGTGATTACTGAACAAAATGAATTCACAAAAACACTTTGTGGGGTACACTGGAAAAACTAAATCAAAAGCAATAAAGCCATGATAAGATCAAAATTACAAAACATCAAGAACTAAAACACACCACTACGAGAATCAGAAGATGGCATCAACAGAAACAAAACAACATGACAGTAACACAATGATCCGACAAAAACTGACAGAACCTAGGGAACTAAATACAGGCGAACTGACGAAACAATAAGGAACACCTGGAAAAGACACATAGGGTTGAGGGAGCTGATTGGTTGACAAAAAGGACCCGGATGACAAGAACAGGTGGAAACAAAACCAAATGTGGAAGACAAAAGCACATGAGGCAACAAAACTATGAAACAAATCCAAATGTAATCTTAACAAAAACAGAATCACGACATTATCTGCTCTTTCATTACCTGGAGTACCCGGAGAAAACCCACGCAGGCACGCGGAGAACATGCAAACTCGAACTCTGCACCTCTGCACTGTGAAGCGGATGTGCTCACCATTTGACAACCGTGCCTCTTAAGCTTAATTTATTTATTTTTTTTGTTTACTTGTGTTGTTTTTGACTAATATTTAAATTTTGTTTAATACGTTTGGGAAACATTTAAGTGTGTCAGACATGCATAAAATTAATCAGAAGGGGCAAACACTTTTTTTTCTACTCTACTGTACGCATCAACCGACATGTTCCAATAGTGTTGGCATCTTTGTTTGGCGTGAACACGACTGTACGAACAAACAGTATTTTCCTCCAAGGATAAATAAAGAATTTGCGACTTTGTTTCTGAAATTTCCTGTCGTTAGTTTAATATTGCCTTTTCTTTGTTTTTCAGTGCCAGACACGGAAAAGTGGCAACATGTTGCTGAGGGAAGTGCCCAGGCAGTACTTTTTTCAAATGGGAGATGTAAATATTTGTGACCCAGCGGGGAACTGGATCAGCATTCGACAATTACAAGACAAATTATCCACACATCCATCCATCCATCGATTATCTCAACCGCTTATCCTCACAAGGTTCACGGGTGCACTGGAACCTATCCCAGTTGACTTCGGGCTCTCGGCGGGGTGCACCCTGTGCTGGTTGCCAGCCATTCGCAGGGCACACAGAGACATGCATCCATCCGAGCTCACACTCACACCTATGGACAATTAAGAGTGTTCCAAAAACCTGCCATGCAATTTGAGAGGAAACCTGAGTACCCGGAGAAAACCCATACTAGCATGGGGAGAACATCCAAACTTCACACAGGAAGGCCGGAGCCTGGAATGGAACCCTGGACCTCTGTCCTGTGAGGCGGACGTGCTCACCAGTCGCCCACTGTGCCACCGACGCCTCAACGATATTTACATATCACAAGTAAGTGCACAATAAAACAATTTCGCTAAGCTCATTCTGGTCAAGCACTCGGGGGTGGGAGTTGAAGGGGTAAATCAATCTCACCTAAGATAAGTAAAAGGGTGGCCCATCCTGACTCCTGCTGATGAATCCTCTTCACTTTCTTCTGTTTTTGCCATCAATATGCGTGCAACAAGAATCATAAAATGCGCAAAACTTATACGTGCTTTCTACATCGCCATTTGTTTGCATTCGTCACTTCCGCTCTCGTTTCGTGCACCGGGAGTTAATAACGAGTCCAGCCCAACCCAATGATTTTCCCAAGACTTTCGGTCATTCAGAGCAATGGCTATCCAACTTTTTACAGAAAAAATACTTGAGTAACATTAAAATACAGTATTGTTGTAGGAACATGTGTTCATTAAAGCGAGGTTGAGGTTTTAGATCAAACATTAACGTTGTGCTTAAATATCAGAAAAAAAAACTTAAAGAATAATTCAATTAAAATATATTGCACATTAAAAGTGTACTCAAGTAAATGTTTGACAACAAATTGTTCTGAAAGAACAATGTAAATGTTTTTAGGTAAACAGTAACTCATCTTTACGTCACAAATGTACTGTATTGGATTTAAAAAACATTGAAATCACAATCACAATTTCAACATTTAATTCAGTAATTATTTCACTTACCACTAGAGGACGCCAATTTAAGAATTAAAGACCTATTTTAGAATACAGTACAGTTCATAGAGTCGATACAGATTCAAATACAAGTAGCAATGTATAAATTGTATTAAAAAATATAGCAGTTTGTTGGTACAACTTGCAGTCCCTGGTACGACCTTATTTGGATTTATTTTCTGTTGGACAAATGAACTAGAGTCTGAATTTGTGTTGAAGTTTTGCTGACGTATCCATGCCGTTTGTACAAACCCCAATTCCGATTCAGGTGGGACATTGTGTCATACATAAATAAATGCAATGCAGTGCAATGATTTGCAAATCATTCACATCTTAAATTTTATTGCCTACACCACAAAGACAAGATATTTAATCTTCAAACTGATAAACATGTTTTTTGGGCAAATATTCACTCATTTTGAATTTGATGCCTGCAACATGTTCCCAAAAAACTTTTACAGGGGCATGTTTACCACTGTGTTACATCACCTTTCCTTTAAACAACACTCAATAAGTGTTTGGAAACTGAGGACACTAAGGGCTCTATATTCACAGAAAGCGAAGGTTTGCTCGCAAGTAAAAACTGGCGTATCCTGATTTTCGTGCTGAACATTTGAAGGAGTGAAATATCCTGCTTAAAGTCAAGAGGTACATTTGTATTTCTGAAATATTTGAGATTTTCCTTTTTGACATTTCTCAAAATCACTGTCTGATTACTATAACTAACTAACAAGGTCTTTTTTTATTTGTTTGTTTGTTAGTTTTTTGGGGGGGGGGTGGAGACGGGATGATAAAGAGATGTAAAATGCCCATTTAGAAAGAGTATATGTTAAATAACTTCAATCAGGCTACAAACGTTAAGGGTCAAAATGTATGAAGGTTGTTTTTATATTCAATACATTATGTTGAAATCAGTGGCAATTGTTTAGCACGTCAACCTCACAGTGCAGAGGTGCAGGTTTCCATTCTAGCTCAAGCCTTCCTGTGTGGAGTGTGCAAGCTCTCTCCGTGCCTGCGTGGGTTTTATCCGCTGACTCCGGTTTCCTCCCACATTCCAAAAATATGCGTAGCAGGTTAATGGAACACTCTCAATTGTCTGTGGGTGTGAGTGTGAGCACGGCTGGTTGTTTATATATGTGTGCGTTGTGATTGGCTGGCAACCCGTTCAGGGTGTCCCCCGCCTACTGCCCGAAGACAGCTGGCTCCAGCGCGACCCTTGTGAGGATAAAATGATGGATGGATGGATGGATGGATGGATGGATGGATGGATGGATGGATGGATGGATGGATGGATGTTGAAATGAGTCTTCAGAGTGCTGAGATAAATGGTCGGACTGAACAAGTCATTGGCTTCTGCTGATGACCTGTTTGACAATTTGTACAGTCCGTACAATGGGAGATTGTGCAAAATACACAAGGTAGGCTCCACTGCAAGTAACCCTCTAAACACTGTCGAGACAAATGTATGATTTTACACAATTGTTAAATAATCTAATCGAGCCTTTTGTCATATATTGCAGGTTTAGTTTACATTCCCAGATTGAAAAAAATAATGGAGAGGCAGAATTCTTTTTTTTTTGCTTCCCATATCTAAAACAAACTTCCAGAGAATTGCAGGAATGGTGATACGGTAGATTCCTTTCAAACACAAACCAAAACATAATTTCAGAAATGCTTGTTATCAAATCATCTGAAACAACTCACTTTAATGTTTAACCTAAACTGCAATTTTGCCTTAACTATTTAGTTTGATGGTTTTTGGGAGGTTGGGTTAGGCACTTACTTGTATTATAGGACATAGAGGATGAAGTATTATTTTGATCCTCGCACAAATATGGTCACATTTAATTTCACATTTCACCTCCGCCTAGTCGATTGAACACTATTTTTGTTTTGTGAATGTTTTATTCTAACAGGACAGTTGACATTATAGTTTACCGCAAGATTTGCTCTCAATTTCAAGCTGTCAGCTGTCCACTTCAACCTCACGTGACAACCTTGGAGATCGAAGTAGCACATGGCATTCATCCATTTGTTGATTATTATTTGTCTGTGTTTATAGACGGCAGCATAATGCAATTCGATTCAAAGATGAAGGGCCTCTTGGGATTCTTGTTTTTGCTAATGAAATCTCTTTTCCTATCTTATCCGAGCGAGATGAGCTGGAAGTAGATGGAAAACAGGATTGTTTGAATTCTACAAATGTTTAGAAAAGGTGCCTGGATGCAACTCTTAACCCCCTTTAGGATAGGTTACCCATGACGAATACACCCTTTATGAAAGGATATTACCCACAACTCTGTATGGCAGCAACAATTACTTCACGCTCAAGACTTTAAAAAAAAAATGCTTATATGCTCCCTGTGCTAGTGTGGATTTTCTCAGGGTACTTTCAAGTACTTTCCTCCCAGATTCCAAGAACATGCCCAGTAGGTTAATAGATCTCTCTAAATTGTCCATCGGTGTGATTGTGAGTGTGAATGGTTGCTTGTCTATGTGTGCCCTGTGATTGGCTGGCAACCTATTCAGGGTGATCTTCACTTTCGCCAATTTTTTGCTGTATTGTATATTTTATATGTTCAATAAACAATAAACAAACAAACAAATGGCTGGGATAGACTCGAGCACACCTGCGACCCTTGTGAGGATAAGCGGCTAAAATAACAGCCATTCGCAGGGCAGTCAGTGAGGCGAAGAAATATATTTTCAAAGCAAAAGGTTAGGTGTGGTTCCACACACACACACACACACACACACACACACACACACACACACACACACACACACACACACACACACAGAAATTAAATTCTAAAAACCTCTCCATAATTTATTAGAGAATGAGCAACTCCAAAATCAATGTCAAACACCATCAGTGTTCCTTCACAAAAATAACTGGTATCTGTATCAATTCCATTTCGCATTAAGTCAAGCTAGAGACTTAGGTTAGCAATACTGTACTTGCTGTCACGCAATGATGTCAGTTAGGAAAAGATAAGATAACATATCCTTTATTTGTCCCGCACTGGGGAAATTTACAGTCAGAGATCAGAAAGGAAACCACTAGGTAGGGAGAGGGAAAGGGAAAAAAGTGGAGTCGAATTCATTTTGAAAAAGTGCGGACCTTTCCTAAATTGGAAAGGAAGCACCTTTTCATCTCTCTTTAACCTGATGACGTAATCCAGCAAAGATAAAGGAGAGGTGACAAAAAGGTTTGGAGTTTGGCCCTTCCAAAGAGGCCCTAAGTTTGGAAATGAAAACGGCATGAATGTTGCTAGTGTGTCAAAGAAAGGTTACGCTGCATTCAGGGAACCATTTTTTTTTTTAACATTGTGAAGGGCAAACAGAGAGGCTGATTGGCAAAAGCGGCCTGGTGCATCTGGGTGAAGAGATTGGCGCATCTGGGTGAAAGGATTATGAGACCTTGGTTTCTTGCCAGTGAGGCAATGAAAGGCTTTCATGTTAGCCTGCATCCACGCCATTGACTCAGTTGATTTTCAGCCTGATATCGTCATTTTTAACTATCTTACTCCCACTGAGAGATCAGCTTTTGAGAAGGGCCTTGGGGACACAATAGAGCACATATGTCAAAGTGCCGGCCCGCGGGCCAAATCCGGCCCGCGAGAATGTTTTCAGTGGCCCCTGGGACGATATTGATCAGTGGCCCCTGAGATGATATTGATTTATTATTAGAACCGGCCCGCGGACCGCAGCAAGCTGAGAGCCCGCAGATCTTTTACATGCACCAATACTACATTTCCCACAATGCAATGGTGACGCGCCAAGCAGTCGGCCTGCTTTATTTAAATATTTATTAGTCTAGCAGTTGTTCCCATAACAGTGACATTAGCTTTCAGATACCCATCAAAAATGGCAAAACGGAAGGTGGACACTGAGAACCGGGGGTTTCAAACAAGGTGGGAGTCGAAGTACATGTTCATGGACGTAGCTGGAAAACTTGTTTGTCTTCTGTGCGGAGAAAGTGTGGCGCTATTGAAAGAGTGTAATCTGAGACGACATCGTGGAACGAAACACGCGAACAAAAACGAAAAACATGGACATGGCGGGGGAAGAGGGATTTCATTAAAAACGGTATACTTAAAGTTTGTGACGAAGTTTACCCCGAAAAAAAGCAACTCTTTTTAAACGTGAGCATTAGCAGAAACACAATTGCAGTGTTTCTGCAAAGATACGGCAGTGCGTGCTGAGCAGTTTGACGGTTTCCTCCCCGACACAGTGGTCCCGCTGCGCATCCAGGCTGCTCAAACGTTGTCGAAAGTTTGGCAGCACATACGTGTGTGAACAACTATTTTCTTTGATGAAGCTGAACAAAACATCACACAGAAGTCGATTTACTGCTGAACACCCTCACTCAATTTTGAGGATTTGCCCAGCTCAGAGCCTGACCCCAAATATTGATGAACTTGTAGAAAAGTTAAGACACCACCGAGTATCAGCCTCAGCCTCAAAGAAGTGAATATTACTTCTAATATACTGTGCAATCACATATTAAGAGTTTTTAGTCAGTTCAAGTTTAAAAATTAAAGTATATTTGCTTTCGCTGCTTGTTACTTCTTGAAGAAAGTGTTGTTTTTGGTTTATACATTTTTGCACTTTATTTTATTGTATTTCAATCCAATTATGTTTTAAAAATATTGTATTCGAGTAAATGATCGAAAATTACTGTCCTATTATTTGATTTTCTTTTAAGTAAATTTAGCCTACTTTTGCTAAAAGAGAAAATATCGACTATTGATAGTGCCTTGAATGATACCGGCTTCTTTCATTCATGTTATGGGTATTTTTATACAAAGGTAATTTTTGTGTGCCTGTTGAAAATTAAAGTTTACTGACATAGCCATAAGAAAATGTTGCTTTATTTATCTGACCATATTGGAATGTATTTGTTAGGTTTTCAGTCAATTAAATTTGGTTCAATAAACTATATGTGGTCATTTTTAAAATTTTCAATGAACATTCAATCAGTCCTGCCCTCGGCTTGCAGCAAAATTTTTTATCTGGCCCTCCGTCCATTTGACTTTGACACCCCTGCAATAGAGTAACGTGATGGAGAGGACTCGCTTGACCTATTTACAAAGATGGGTTCCCACTTCTTCCCGCCAAATAGCTTGCAGCCTGCCTTTGAAACAAAAGCTCATAAACCCTTTCTACAAGAGCCAAAATTTATACTTGATCGTTTCTCCACAATATTGGTTCCTGTGCATTACAAAGATAAGGAAAATGTGTTGTCTCTGTATGACTCAAAGAAGGCCACCGGCAAAAGAATGTTGCAACTGCTTGAGGTATGACAACAAATAAACCAAAATTGCTCCCTTAGTTAAATAAGTATTCATCCATCCATTTTCAACACTGCTTATCCTGAACAAGGTTGCGGGGAGTTGCTGGAGCCTATCCCAGGTGACTTTGGACGAAAGGCGGACCACACCCTGAACTGGTCACCAGTCAGTCGGAGGGCACATATAGAGATGCACAACCATTTACACTGTCACTGAGTAAGAACTGATCCCACGCTACCCATACACCATCACCAACTAAATAAGTATACACCATCCATTTTCTGAGCCGCTTTATCCTCACAAGGGTCGCGGGGGCTGCTGGAGCCTATCCCAGCTGTCTTCGGGCAGTAGGCAGTGGACACACAGAAACAAACAACCATTCGCGCGCACATTCACACCAAGGGACAATTTGGAGTGTTCAATCAGACTGCCATGCATGTTTTTGGAATGTGGGAGGAAACTGGAGTACCCGGAGAAAACCCACGCAGGCACGGGGACAACATGAAAACTCCACACAGGAAGGCCGGAGCCAGGATGGAACCCACGACCTCTGCACTGTAAGGTTGACATGCTAACCACTTGTCCACCGGGCGCCTAAATAGGTATTCAAAGCAAAATAAACATAGCACCAAACGATAAATAAAGTGCATTCAAACTAAATTAACAGAAAGAGATGCCCAAAAACAACAATGAATCACGCCCCCCAACTCCCCAGTACAGTTCTCATTGATGATAGGTGCCAAGTCTTCAGACTCTTCAAACATTTCAGTCTGGTTGTTGCCACTGCGAGGTGGTTACATCGGAAGAGAGAGAGAGAGAGAGAGAGAGAGAGAGAGAGAGAGAGAGAGAGAGAGAGAGAGAGAGAGAAAGCGTTGCTCGTCGCGAATGGTGAATTGTTGATTATGGTAATGTACTGTTGACACAGTACATAACAAATTTAAAATGTTTGCACTCTTAGAAGAACAAAAGTCAAGTGTTTTTCCAGTTTCCATCTCATTTCTATTGAAAGGCTTTTTTTTATGACGAGAAAATCTTGACTTGCCTGTCTGTCAGGCAAATTCATGCCTGTAAGAATTTGTGAATGAGAATAAACTTTGTTTCATGTTCTTGTAGCACAGCCCATTTTTAAGACAAGACACCTCCTGCTGACCAAATTGAGGAGTAACAAGTACGCAGTCATCTTTTACAAGCAGGTTTACACTCACTGGAGTACGCTGTCTGCGGTACTGTACTATTCAACATCCATTTCTAAGTTGATAAATTGTCCATCCATCGATCCATCCATCGAAATTGTGGATTAATTGAGTTATGTGTTGTGTTTATTATTTTACTTTATGTTAACTGTTTGGTTAAGCGCTTTGTTACAGCTGCAGCTGTTGTGAAAGCGCTATAGAAATCAGGATGTATTGTATTGTACTGTATAGCCAAGAAAGAATGTTTATCATTTCCATCAGTAAGGCTCTGCCAAACCAACATTTTCTAGGTCAAATATGTTGCCCTTATAAAAGTAAGAAAAACAACATATTCACAATTGAGAGCAAGAAACATTTTTATCATTCTCAAAGTGTTACAATTCACCATTGAAAGCTGAAGTGATAAAATAACTGTTATGGTACTAGTCATAAACAGAACAATGATTGAATTCAGGTTACAATAAATGTTATCGCTGAAGAAACACCTTGAGGATGCATAATGTAGTTTGACTCATGCAATATGCAAACCACAGATAGTTCTTAGTTTGTGGACTTTATGTTTGGATTTGAATATAGCATAAAAACATAAATATAGTTACATACCACGCAAATACGATTGGTGATAGGAAGGAAAAATACTCGCACCAACAGCTAATCTTTCTCACTGTCAGGATTTGCGGGCGAGCCGAATGAGGTTGGATCCCAATAAATCGCAGACACCAACAAGTGTTCCGTGACAAATAAAAGAATAGTTTAATGGCTATAATATTTGCCCTTATAAAAGTAAGAAAAACAACATATTCACAATTGAGAGCAAGAAACATTTTTATCATTCTCAAAGTGTTACAATTCACCATTGAAAGCTGAAGTGATAAAATAACTGTTATGGTACTAGTCATAAACAGAACAATGATTGAATTCAGGTTACAATAAATGTTATCGCTGAAGAAACACCTTGAGGATGCATAATGTAGTTTGACTCATGCAATATGCAAACCACAGATAGTTCTTAGTTTGTGGACTTTATGTTTGGATTTGAATATAGCATAAAAACATATAAATATAGTTACATACCAGGCAAATATGATTGGTGATAGGAAGGAAAAATACTCGCACCAACAGCTAATCTTTCTCACCCCAGTAAATGTAATACAGTATTTGTGACTTTCAAAGTCACACTAGTGGCTTCTTCAACCGAGGGCAACTTTGCCAAAAACGCCTTTGGAAAGGTGCACCCAAGTAAATTTGAAGCTGTTCTTGAAGCATTTGGAGTATCAGCATAGTTTTGGTCTCTTTTTGAAATATTCAAAATTTTATCATTATGAATATTTCTCCCATAAACTAAGAATCTGTGTAAGTGCTCCTGTCACTGAACTATGGATGTTCGAAAACAGAAAAAAAAAGGCGAATCTTATGTTCGTCTAATTTCTTTTCACAAAATCTGCCTTGAAAATGAATTCAGAATGTTGACTGGGACTTGAAAACACTACAGGATCAAAGCTTGAGGTCTCCCCAAGTTCCGGTTCAAATTCGACAATTATAACATGTAGGGTACCATTCAAATCTCCAGCTTTTAAAAGATGTATAACATGTTCACACATGTACTCAGGTGACGACGTGCATCAGCGATGTGTTTTGACAGATGACTGTCACGTTGCGAGTTGGTGGAGGACCCCAAAAAGCAGGCAGGAGGGAGGAGCAGGGTGTACTTGAAGAAGTTGTATTGATAAAAACACAGAAAACTAAATCCTAAACAAACAAGGTCCTAAAAACAAAAAGAATCCAAAGTAGCAAAGCAAAACCAAGACTGAAGCAAAAAACTATCAATAACAGAAACATGACAGGGACATGGCAGACAAACATGACAGTAGCAAACAAACAGCAACAATGACCCGAACATGACAGAATGACCCGACCAACTGGACCCCGCAGGTACAAAGGACTGGTTCCAATTCCACCATGTGCCTGGCGGAGCACGTCTGCGGCCGACACCCTTTTCCCCTTCAGGCAGCGCTGGTCTTGCGGCTGTCCCATGTTCCCCCTTCAGGCAGCGCTGGTTATGCGTCTGTCTCATGTTTTCGTCTCGTCAAGCCACGTCTACGGTAGGCCGAGCCCCGTCCGCGTCCACGTTGAGCCGAGCCTCGTCACGTGTCTGTTCGAACTGAGTCACATTCACGCCCACGACGAGACGTGCCATGTCCACGTCCACGTCAGGCCGAGCCCCCGTTCACGTCCGGCTGTCCCATGTCTCCCGTTACGTCGAGCTCCCTCCACGTCAGGCCAAGCCCAGCCAAAGGGTTGACGTCGCTTTTCGTTCCTGTTCCCCGGCGAGGCAAGCCTTTGGATGACTTTGGGATGTCTGGGATCCTTCCCTTAAGGGAGGGGTACTGTCATGATTCTGTTTGTGACCAAGAGGTGGCACTGTAGGGCTCCCCCTGCAGCTGCACACCTGTTGGTCGTTATGTAATTATTGCTTTAAAAGGACTCCCGGCCCGAGACCACTCGGTGTCGGGTCGTTGTTCGTTTGTTTGTTCCTGTCATGTTTGTTTCAGTCATGTTTTGGTCACAGTTATGTTTTAGTTTCAGTCATGATTTTTGTTTGATACTTTGGACTTTGTTTCTTTTGGATTTAGTTTTCTGTGTTTTATCAATACACTTCTTCAAGTACACCCTGCTCCTCCCTCCTGCCTGCTTTGTGGGGTCCTCCACCACCATGCAACGTGACAATGACGGATGGCCCTTTGGTGGGGCCTCCTAACTTTAAGGGTTTAATGGGACCGGGCCATTAAGAAAGCACATCGTGCATTTAATTCTATTTGGATCATAAGGTATGGTCTTGCAAGAGACATATTAGTTTTTGCACACTGGAACTAGTTCATTGCCACCTGCGGAGAAGAGGTCCGTTGTACCATCAAATTCAGGTAAAGTATGCATCACATTGATCCGACCACTGGGAACATTTACCGGTGTGTTCTTTGAAGGCCTGAAGAGATGGGTGTTTCAAACTTGGACAGTATCACCCAACTCATCCTGTTGAAAAGAATATACAGTTTTAGGAAGAGGCAGCAGGGTCGAGCCGCCCCTCTAGCACCTGGCGGCTCTTCCCGCTTGCCCGCTCAGAAACCCTCCGCACCCCAGCAACGGAGGTGGACGCATGCACCCCAATGGTGGCTGCAGTCAAAAAGCTCATAGTTGGATCTTGACCTGTCCCAGCCCCTGCCTCTCGGCTGCCTGTCCGGCCCGGGGCCCAAAGCCTTTACTTTGAAAAAATGTGATCGTTCACTGCAGGCCCGCGCCGCCCACATCCTGCTGCACAGAATGGTGGAACGGGACTCTGGTTCTATTTTGTGGGGTTTCCCTACTGAACTGGGGCCAGGGTTGAGAGGGACGGCCAGGGGCATTCGTATTGCGCCGCCAAAGGGGAAATTCTTGGACTGGCGCAAGACGGGTCAGGGCGAAAGCATTTGCCAAGAATGTTTTCATTCATCAAGAACGAAAGTCGTAGGTTCGAAGACGATTAGATACTGTGGTAATTCTGACCATAAATGATGCAGACTCGCAGAGGTGTAGGTAACCCTGTGAACCCCAACAGAACCAGAATTTTCGCATTTCTATGTCTGTGACAAGGCCTCCATCAGCACCAGTGATGAGCCCTGCTTTGACGGAGGACCGGCAGGAGCCTAGTGTGCCCTTGAACTGGTCTGGTTGCGGTATAGTGAAAATTTAATTTTTAATGTTTTATTTTTTTTTTTATAGATGTAATGGTCAAAATTGCAAATTTTGAAATGCAACATCAGATGTTCATGAAAAGTACTTTGGTTGGATACCTGGTGTGACCTAGTTTGCCCATGACCTGGTCTGGTTGCAGAATAATGAAAATTTAATTTTTAAGTACTGTATTTCTTGAAATCAGGTGTAAAGGTGAACATTGCTGGTTCCAGAAGCCTTTTATTTTGATATGCAACATCAGATAATAATGAAAATACTCTGGTTGGACACCTTTGGTGGTCTCATGTGCGATAAAAGGGGTCTGGTTTCGGGATAACAAACCCAGAATTGTTAACAATTTTTTAAAATTAGGTGTAAAGGTCATATATACAGATTTCAAATACGTTTTATTTTGAAATGCAACGTCTCTGAACCACTGGACAAAAAGACACTTTGATCCTCTCCTCTTTCATCTATCACTGCTTCAAACAACAAAGAGTATGCAGATGATTGTATGACTGTGTCTTCTTCTTATGGGTTGTGTTGTATTATTTTGTTATTATGTTATTATGACTTCAAGATGGCGTTGCGAGAGAGGCTGCCTTTGCAGCAGCTCCTATACTTTTTGTTCTTCTACTTTCTTCCTTTCATAGCTTTGCTGCTGTAATTGGGAATTTCTCCATTGTGAGACGAATAAAGGTTTTCTTATTCTTCTTCATTCAAATCAGGTTTCAATGAAAGTACATTGGTTGGACATCCTGTCATAGCCTGGTGTTCCTTAAAACTGGTCTGGTTTTGGGATAACAAACAGAGAATTTTAAATAATTTTTTGAAATCAGGTGTAAAGGTCAAATTGCCAATTTCAGAGTCCTTTTATTTTGAAATGCAACATCAGGGCTTAATTTGGTTTGTTTGAATACCTTGGGTAGCCTAGTGTTCCCTAGAACCGGTCTGGTTGCAGAATAACAAAAATTGAAATTGTGATTTTTTTTTAATTCTGATTTAAATGTCAAAATGCAGATTTCAGTTGATTTTTATTTGGAAATGCAATATCAGATATTAATGAAAGCACTTTGGTTGGATACCTGCGGTGGCCAAGTGTGCCCAAGAACTGTTCTGCTTGCGAAAATTTAATTTTGAATTATTATTATTTTTTTTGATCAGATATAATTTTAGTCATTGATGCAAATTTAAGATTAACTTCTATGTCTATCTCAAACTTTAGAAGGTTTGATGGTTCAATTCTTAATACCGTTTGTATTCTCCCTGGGTGATCTCATGGCTGTCTGAACGCATATAATTTATTTTATAACATTATTTTCAATCGAAACCACCGACAAACATGGATTATTTGGGTAGCTTTTATTTTGAAGATTACCGTGATGTACAATATTAACAATCGCTGTGGCGGTTGGCTTGACTTTGCATGTGGAGGTTGGTTTGACCGCTGTTTTATTTTTCTCCAGCAGCGATGTGTGGTTTTTGGTTTATAGCGCTAAATCCACTTTTAGCTGTGTTTCCTACTCTGCTTTCTTGAACACACCCCAGTGAGCGAGTATCCCGATATTGTGCGAGGGGAATAATGGCTGCACAGGAGCCGTCTCCACCATCTTCCCTGGAAGGAAACAAACCGGGCTTCCCAAAGAAAATTTTGGCCAACAACCTCGAGGACAAGCATTTGTGTAATTCCTGCCTGAAAATCCTTCGAAGGCCCTTACAAGCGCAATGTGGTCATCGCTTTTGTTCGTTCTGTTTCAACAAAATAGTGAGGTGGGTATAGTGTCATGGTTGCTGACGATCTTGCAGTCCTACGTTCATTTACAGTTGGCCACTATGCTTTCTTAAAAGCGTCGTTTGAACGCTCCTGTGTACATTGTCACGGGCAGCGAACGACAGGATTAATTATAGAATTGACATTCCAAATACATACCCTGAATTCCGCGTACGGACATTGTACTAATCGTAACTTTATCCCTTAATGGCCTTGGACAATATTTTAATTTTACAATGTCCTCATTTTCACGTTGACCGTGTTTTTGTGTGGCGTCCTTTAATGATAACTCTTAGTGGTACGGTAACCGGTCATTATTTGTATATTCATCGATTAGCTAAGCAGCGTTTATCAGCAATTTTAGGATGAGTTTGAATGACTTTTGTTACGGTGTGCTTCTGGTGATTTACATTTGTTTTGTTACTGATATCGTAAGACATTGTTTTTTGTTTTTAAGTCCACTGGTTGTATCAAATGAGTAATAGACCAGGCATTATTGGACAAACAATAAAAGGTAAATCAGCAGCTATCTGTTTATCAGCATTTGATCAAAAACAAAATGAAGCAAATTAGACTGTCACAGTGTATAAAATGTGAATTTATATTGGTTGTAAATAATAGCACAGTGATGTTCAGGCGTACTGTATGAGCTCATGTGCCCCATATAATCATTGTAATAACTTCGGATATCCTTGTAACACTGACAATTGTGGATCTGTCTATCTAGCTGTATACATTTGTCAGAATCAAATTCTTTTGTGTACAGTGTATGTGAATGCAATTGAATTGTAATTTGCAACAAAGGCCGAGTCAGTATTTTGAGGATCCAATTACCTGCCATTTTGATCTAATCCAACCAATGCAATTTAATGATTATTAAGTAGATAAAGTTCAATGCTATCTTCTGTGTCCTCAATGTGACACATTGTAGATGTTTTAACAATAACACAAAACATTTATTTGTGGAATAATAATGTGTTGTCGTATAGTTCTGGACCCGAGAAATGCAATGCTTGCATCAAAGAAGACTTATTTGAGGAACCCACCTCTATTCTCAAACAAGGAGGTGTAAGTAAATTTTTACCCTCATCTGTGTTTATCGATTAGCTCAGACTAACATAACTGAAGTGATGAAATGTAGAATGTAATGTATAGAGAGCACTGCTGCATCACTTTTACTTTTATTTAATTGTAAAGAGCCAACACAACAACAGCTGTTGCTGCTTATGGTTGGCTCCTTCTTTAGGAAACTGCTACAGAGTAACACAACCTTTCAAACTGGAACCCCAAACACACACCAGCCTGCTAATGGACAGGATTCCCTGCACTTCTTTCCAGGCTTTTCCAGACAATGCAGCCCGGAGAGAAGTGGAAGCCTTAGCAGCCGTTTGCCCCAACGAAGGATGTATGTGGACAGGGACTATTAAAGATTTTGAGGTGTGTATTACTGCAGGGATTTGACTAAATACAGATTATATTCCTGGTGATGAATGTGAAACCCAATTTACGTTCACTGATAGGCTCTAGCCTTGTACATTGAGTCCATGCTTAATTATGTATACAGTACACATCGCTGGCATTGGGCTGAAACATCCTTTGACACAATTTAGTACATTTATTTTTTTTTCACAAATCTGTACTATTAGTCAGTCCACACATGGTGTGTTATGATGATGATGATGATTATTATTATTTTTATTACTGTGATTAGTATTTTTTTTTCGATGCAGCAATCCTAGCCTAAAACTTGCACAGTGTTTTCAGCGAAAAAATTACAGGCGTTGTCATCCAATCATCAAGCTCAAGGGAAACAATTTATGGTCGTATTTTGTTTCCAGACTTGTGTTCGATAAACACATAATAGATGATCAGATAAAGGCCATTGTTGAATTTTTGAGTTTCAAACGAAAAAACAAGAGCAAGTTTATTCCTGTTCAACAGAGACAGCATCAACTGCTGAGGGATGGCCTTTCCACAGTGAATATCTGAGACTTGTGTTTGTGAATATCGTGAAATGGCAATTGCCGTTTGTCTCAAAAACAAATGTCGTGCCCACTGATCCAATAACACATATTTACAAATGATAAGTCACGATAAATGCACTCACAACATTAGAAAGCACGTGAAAATCACACATAGATTTTTGGATCTGCAAAAACACCTAAAAATTGCGGCAGTGTTTATGTAAATAATTTGGAAACATATCTCTCCCCATACTTGGCCACGTAGCACGTTGTATATAAAGAAAATGATCTTAAATTCAATTCTAAATTTTTATGGGATGCAAATGCAGTGAAGCGAGTACAGGAGAAATATTAATCTGTTCTCCAGCTTCTGGTTAGAACTCGTGCAGCAGGGTTTTGAACTAGCTGGAGAGTCTTTATAGGCTTACTCGGGCAGTCTATTAGCAAAGAGTTGCACTAATCCAGCCTTGGTACAACAAAATAATAAACTAGTTTCAGCATCAGCAAGGGCAAAGGAACTTTTTTTTTTTGCCAATTAAAAAAAAAACACTTCTCTGGACTCTGTTTTGTGAGAATTAAAAGATAGCTCCTGATCCAGTGTAACGGCAAAATGCCTTTGGTGTCGCTGGGGGTAAATGCAAAACAATTGAGAGCAGTGTACTGTATATCACTACAGAGTGTCAGACAGGTGCTCAGTGCCAAGGGCTATTATTTTAGTTCCATTTGAATTTCCTTAGACATTCTATCTCATCAAAACATGAACAGGAATTTTGACATTTCAAATAATGCAATTTTTTCATGCCTGTTTATTCATTGAAAACATTGTTGCTGATTCACTGTAGGCTTGCCATGAAGGCCACTGTGACTTTGCCATCATCTTGTGCCCTTCCTGCAAAGAGTTGATGAGAGCCAATGAGCAGGAACGTCACGATGAGCGAGAATGTCCTGAGAGGACACTAAACTGCAAATACTGTAAAGAACCATTCCTTTTAAAGAACATCAAGGTGAGATTTTTCTACCATCTTCGCGTTTGGTTTGTAGATTTTTTAAAAATTTATTTTGAAATGTGAAGACAAAGTTGTTATCAGGAGTCTCTGTCGATATGATGGTTCACTCTCCTGACAGTGTGGGTTCACGTGAGTTTCCACTCAGTGAGGGTGTGAATGTGAGGTTTGTCTGTTGACAAGTCGACATGTCCACATGTCACTGATGATAATAGTTTGAAGTCCATCAATCGTCAATCAAGTGTTGTGCCATTTAACAACACGGATAACTCGAATCCCAAATCCATTCTAATGGATTACTTATTGTAAATACTGTATGTCACACACAGACATGAGACGTGTGTGTGCCTGAACCTGTGTGTGTGTGTGCGTGCGTGCGTGCGTGCGTGTGTGTGATGTGACTCAAATCTGGAAATGCTCATTTTTAACACTTAGTTCGAGTCTCCACCGATTCGTGCATAGCCCTAGTTCTGATCCTTGTTTTTTTTTTAATTGTTTTTGAGAATTCATACACTTTCCATGCCGCCATGATTGCTTTTTGAAAGACCAGAACGCTGTGTGAGCAGGTACTGCCAGCGGCAGCCAATATCGATCCAAATTCACCTTTCAACTATGTTACGTCATAGTGTCTAGGTAACTTTGGTTCTTAAGAAGTACACTCCACATGTTTACCTGTCATTGATTCATGAACATGGAAAGTTGAAGTGATAAAGCCACAGATTTGTTTGCATTATGCTTATAATATTATACATGACATACCGATTTATTTTGATTCCACACTTGTTTTGTAGAATTTCAGGGGTACCCAACCTTTTTTGACCTAAGATCTACTCCCGTATTGGCCCGAGTATAAGACGGTGTTTTTTGCATTGAAATAAGACTGAAAAAGTTGGGGTCGTCTTATATTCGGGGTCTAGACATTACACCCATTCACGACGCTAGATGGCACCAGATATCATTGAAGCGAATGCTGAACTTGACTCCCCAGGCCAAAGTGAACCCCTGTCACGAAGAATAAAAATAAAAATAGCAGTAGCACGAAAAAGAAAAGTAAAAATAGCGGTAAGAAAGAAAAGAGAAGAAAGAATAGAAGAGATAACAGAAAATGGAGAAATGTAGCGACAATCTGGAGAAAAGTGGGTCGAAGATCGGTCAGGTTAAGCGGCAGTTGTGGAGACGTTATGATGTAATTTACATTTCAAAAACCAGAAGCCATTCATTTACGAATGTGATTGCAATTTAGTTTACATATTTAAATGTTCAGATATTAAGATTTGAATGATCCAAAATAACATGCTTTTTCTCTCAAATATATTGTTATAATCATTTGTTTTAGATGTACTGTGATTATTTTCTGTATAAAAAATAATGTGGTGTTCAAAAAGTCTTTTTTCAAACTTGAGTCTTGAAAAAGAGGGGGTCGTCTTACAATCAGGGCCATCTTATATTCGGGCCAATGTGGTATTTAAAACAGCCAACCTCTCGCAATCGAACAGTCATCGCGCGCACACACACACACACACACACACACACACACTATATACATGCTCTGATGAGCAACAGCCTAAATAGACCCAAACATGAAAAAAACAGAAAAATAAAGTAGTTTGTGAAAATGAAATCATTGCCTGCATTAGTGGGAGGCCTGACAGGCAGGGACACACTTTTGCAGCGGATTAAGTGCAGAAACATGACTATCGTAGCTCACGTGTACCTTTTTAAAATCCTCTCCTGGCGCGACAGATTCACATTCTTTGCCAATGCTAGCAGTAAATTGTAGATGAAACAAACTTTGAATGAAAATAAACAAAAAATAGACACATCCCAGCAGCTCGGATCACAAGCTGCAATTGCAGACTGATGACCGCTAGCTAATTACTCTTTTAGTGAAAGTGAAACTGATGGGACATTTTGGGTGCAGGGCACACGAACCCAAAGAATCTATCATATTAACCCTTTCAGGCACAGCGGTTACTACAGTGGACAGGTTATCATGTTATCCGGTTACAGGTATCATTATTGGTGCATGAAAGGGTTCATAATATGCACACATTTTTTTTCCCATTTCCCCTACACCTCTCGCTGTCGATGTCAACATGGGGCCAGTCCGCGGCCTACTGGTTGATCGCGATCAACTTGTTGGGCACTCCTTGCTTAAAAGAATGCAAGTCAAAGGCTCGGTTCACATTGCCGGTGTTAATGCTCAATTTGGATTTTTGAGTGAAATCCGATTTATTTTTTTTGTGTTCACATTACATATTAATTGCATCCTTAGTCTGTCTGGTGTGTGATCAAATGCATCTCCGAAGTGATCCACAAGCACATTAGAAGAGACACCGTCACTCACAACTCAACTCAACTCAACTCAACTGTATTTATCGAGCACTTTCAAACAGCCATCGCTGCATACAAAGTGCTGTACATGGAGCAATTAACATATACAACAAACAGTAAAGCAAATCGGTAACAAAGACGGTAGAAAGCACCGAACAGCAAAACCAAGAACAAATCTAGTAACAACATAGTGTTTACAGACGGAAATGTTGTCCAGCATGTAGGGGCCGCAGACATGGTAGGGGCTCATCTTTTTTTTCATCTCATATCTACAGAGGAACGATTCGAGAGGCGGTATAAATATTTTGAGGTATTAAGCCTTCAGTCTGTCATAAAATATGATCTGGGTTGGATTTATCTGCAAGCGTTAACCTAGCCTCAGTGTTTAGTAAGTTAACAATTCGAACTGAAATAGAAAAACTGTCATTTCATAGTGATTCATGGTTCATTTGCATTCATTTTATATCGGCTGAAGCCTAATCTGTAAAACCAAATCATTTATGAATTGATAATAAATAAGATAATACATGTGGTATTGATTGTTGTGATATAGATTAATTAGTTGCTTGTCGTTGTTGATATACACAGGAACAGAACCATGAAAAAAAATTGCATATTAAATTACAATCACAACATTATGGAGAAAAAAACACCTCATATTTAATTTTTCAAAATCATTCAGCCCTGTCGTGAAAACTTCTGCTGGGATGGCAGTTTGCCTTTTAATTATTGAGCAATTTCTTGTTTTTCCTGAAGGCTTATTTTACCATTCATAGTTCTGTGTTTGGTGTCAAAATGCTGACGTGTAGTAAGAGTCCATGTTATTATTTTAAGACAGTCATGATTTCTAAGTTCTCGTGGGCCACATTTAATGACCTGGTGGGCCCATGAGCCTTGAGTTTGACATAAGGATGAACAAGTCAGGAATGGGGCCTGTGCAACTGACGACGGCCCCCGGGGGGGGGGGGGGGGGGGGAGCCCGCCCACGCTGGGGGGGGGGGGGGGGGGGATTGCTCTCTCTCTCTCTCTCTCTCTCTCTCTCTCTCTCTCTCTCTCACTATATATATATGTATATGTATACACACACACACACACACACGAGGGTCATTGAATAAATAAGGTAAATTTTTCGGTACAAGAACCTCTAATACAGATAGAAGCTTGCTTCTTTTTTTTTTTCCAATGTCGTGTCCCAGCACTGTCACACACCTTTCCCATCTGTGCACAAGCTTCCATATTCCCTCAGCGTAAAAAAATCTTTGGATTTCATCATCTCGCTCTCTCTCTCTCTCTCTCTCTCTCTCTCGCTCTCTCTCTCTCTCTCTCTCTCTCTCAGGGAGGAAATTGGTGCTTCCTCTCTGTCTTTTGAAATTCCTGCCACAAGAGCGATGGCACTTTCTTAATGTGGCATATTGGCAGCTGTAGGATTTTTGTAAATACCCCAACACGACTTTGAGGACATTCACGAGTGTAATTTATAGTCATACTAATAATAACAAGAATAAATAATAACAGTTGCTGCCATTGATTTACTGTATGTTTGTAGGAAGCGAGACTTGAATATGATTCAGACCATAATGAAGTGACATTTGCATTTACGTATTTTTTATCATCCTATCGCAAATATCTCATTGAGACTCAAAATGTACCTTGGAAACATTGTAAAAAGGTGCATATGCTTGAAAAATGTGATGAAGTAGATCTATTTTCCAAGCATTATTTTGTGTTAATAAAAAAATAAAAAATACCTCTATTTATGATAAAAGCTTTTCATCATCGACATTTCAATTATTTTAAGTTTTATATTAACATTTATATTCTGGGGACAGAAAAGTCACCACTAGCCACGAATAAACCTCATACTGTAATTAGGATACTATGTCAGGCTTCTGACTGAATTGTTCTTTTGTAATTTGTTTTTTAGGCTCATGATGAAATTTGCCCGAAGTACCCATTGATCTGTGAAGGTTGCGCAAAGAAAAAGATACCCAGAGAAAAGGTATCCCAAACATGGTCCTTAAGTGATTGTTTATTTATTTTTTTTGACTTCACAATTCTCTTCTCATTGACTCTCATTTAGCTTGGGGAGCTAATCCGACGAAGTAATCTGTAGATCATTAGCTTCTTTAATTTTTTTGTTTTGCAGTATGTGGACCATATTAAGTTCTGCAGTAAATTTAAAGCACCATGCAGATTTCATGTTGTTGGCTGCGATACGTCTGTAAGTAGACATTTTCATCATAATTTGCTGTGTGTGACGCTCGCTAACGTAATAAACTGCTGAATCATTTTTCAACTTTTCAACTAATAAATAGGACGTCATATTAACACACTCGAGACAAGACCATCACAGATTTCTTGGCAACGTATCACAACTTTCATGATGGAAACTTTCATTGGACACCAACAGTTATTACAAATTGCTGCCAATATACAAAATATATATATATATTTTTTATTACTACTCTTCAGAAACTGATCATTAGAAGCTTTGAGACTTGTGACACAGTCCTCTGACAGTTCCTCTCTGCTCTGGCACTGCTTCGCTGAAGCGTCTTTTGCCATTCAAGGCCTTGCAGAAGGTGTCAAAATTGTAAAGTGGTTTTTCCTTGGTGAACATGGGTAGTTGTTAGTGCATTTGTTTTTTTCTGGGTGAGAAGATTCTTATATACATGCCATGTTCGATTATATTTCAGGAAGGGTTCTCCATTACCGAATCGGAACGCAGATCGCAATGTCTGTTCATGCAGCATACTAAAAAAGAAAAATGGAAAAAAAAAATTCCAGACAAAAGTCATGACAGGAGTGTGGTTGAAATATACGATGGACTGACCGACCGATGCCAGACAGGTTCCCAGGTCACTGACAGATGACAAATGACAGACCGGCAAAATTTTGTGAATTGCCCACCTCTGGTGAATTCACATTTATGGGCAATTTCAAATGGCTGCTGTATACTCTATAACACTACTGACAGTTGTTAGCACTTTGTGGTTGAGTGGACCCGTGGGGAGATTTCTTGCTCCCAGTTAGCAAAAGGAAAAGGCAAAGGAGCAATTAGGGTCAAAGGTGCAGCACATCAGCCGTCAATCCCCATTGCCCTCTAAAAATGTCATCTTGAATTACATTTCATTTTTGGTTCTGTTTATGTTAATGTCATAAATGGCACATAAATGGTGGATATGGTGCATGCATCCTGTGTGCTTGTGTTATTGTTTTTTTCCTGACTGTACATCATCATCATCTTTCTTTTTTCCTGGGGTCGTGTATTCTAGGGGTCACCAACATGGTGCCCACGGGCGGCAGGGACCCCCACCCCCCACTCCCCCAAGGACCACGTTGCGAGTAGCATGCAAGCCAGTTCTAAAAATGGTTCACCAGTCAATGAGACATGTTGCAGACGTGCCGATTTGAAAATGTAACCACTTGAAGAGATTTTGAGAAATCAAATGACTTTTCTACCCTGTTAACTCATGTTTGGTAGTTATTAGTGAGAAATCCTTGCCGTGATCAGTGTGTTTACACAGATGAATCACGTTCATGAACAATAAGATCAATTCAAGGTAAATTGAGCAAATGTGTTATTTCTGAATTGGGGATCAAACCGGAATCACAGGTTGGTGACCCCTGGTGCTTTCTAATCAGGGCTGTTTTGTTCTTAATCTAATGTCTTCTCTAATACGCAGGTGGAGAAGGAGAAGATTCATGACCATGAGCGTCAATGTTCGTACGAACACCTCAACCTGCTTCTGCATTTCATCATGGGAATCAAAGTGAGCCTGGAGAGCCTGCAGCCTCAGAGCCTGGATGTAGCTGGCCACAAGCTGCACGAGCTCCACCAGTCCCTCAGAGACTTAGAACTCAAGATGAGCCAGCTAGGTGGAGGCGGCGCCGCAGCTTCCACCTCCTTCACGCCGCTGCCCAGCACTTTGGGGGCTGCCCTGGAGCTGCAGCTCCAAAGTGAAAAGACCAAGGTGGTTGAGCTCAGCCGACGCTGCCAAGAGCTGGAGCTGAAAGTGAATACGTTTGAGAACATAGTTTGCGTCCTCAACCGAGAAATGGAGCGCTCGTGCGCCGCCATGGAGGCCTACAACCGGCAACACAGACTGGACCAGGACAAAATTGACATCCTCAATAACAAGGTGACAAATGGCACACTGGAAATGTCTTTCTCGGTCACAAATATTGAGATTGTATTTTGGTAAAGTAAGTATGAAAGCTTGTTCAAGCAGGCATACAGTATTCCAACAATTTTGGCATTTCGCAGGTAGGTTCAGAGCCATAACAGAGGCACGGCACACCTTTTGAAAAGCCTGTACAATGAAACTCCTCTACAACGAAATCATGTTTGCAGCAAGAAATTTTTCACAACAGGGGGTTTTTCACTGCAGCAAATTTGATCTCAGATGTAAGCACACACACACACACACAAACGTATGTGTACTCTATTTTTATTCCAATAGTGCATAAGTATGAGCACACACCTATTTGACACTTAATATTGTCAGTATAGAAAGAAAAAAAGGGAAAGAAATTGCGAAATTTACGAACAGCATTCACTTTCACTTACATCAATTTCTTGATTAATGTCTTTTATTTTGCTTGCTCCGTCTTTCATTTTGATCACTTTTACCCTCTCTTCCAGCATCAGAGCTCTTCTTGTCTTAGCTGCTTGACATCCAAAGGTCCGTTTTGTAGCCATTTTAGCAATGCAACGTCCATGCTCGTCTGAATCTAACAATAACAACGGGTTTGTTCATTGTTGCAAATGGTTGCAAAGACGGTTGCAAAGATGTTGCACAGACATTCCCAAACAGGTTTAATTGTTGCAAACAGTTTTCTTGTCGCCATCAAATTTTAAACATGTTCCCAATTTTTTTTTTTTTTTGCGACAAAAAAAGAACTGTTTGAGACCATCAGAATTGTTGGTGAACATCTTTGCGGCCCTGACAAAAAGACATTTTTGCTCCCCTCTGTGAGATCCAGCCCTCGGGGCATTCTGCAACTTAAAGTGTGAAGTTTTACACCCAGACTGACTTTACCTGTCCTGTTGTGTTTTCACTGTTGGAGAAATATTTCATATACTGAAAGACTTTTTTCATGTTCGAGTCAGGCTCACAATTACGAACCATCTCACCAGATACTCGTGTAGTTATCTGACTATGCAAGATGTTATGTCATAAGGTGACAGCACACCCATTTGCTGCAATATCGCACATTGTTGGGTTTGATTTGAAAGGCAAAAGTAGCTTTTTGTATTTTGCAGCGTGCCATGAGTCTTGATAGAGTTCAACTTTCAGTTCTATCTGATTTTGGGCCATTGCTTGATGCATGATGAAGCTTCAGTTTGGATGCATTTTTCTTTAAATTGCCAGACAAAATGCTTTTGTCGACTCCAGCATTCATTCTGCTGCTATTGTCATGAGTTACATCATCAGCCAAGAACAGATGCAGCGATGCAAGCGCAAGCCTTGACATTACCTCCACCATGCTTCACAGATGCGCTTGTGTGTTTTGGATCAGAAGCCGGTTTGGAAAGTGGGCTAGGTGACGATGACCCAATTTCATTGACCAACCAGGCCAAGCTTAGAGGAGGACCCACCTCTTCCTCCAGTGTTTCATCTTATGAAATGGACTCTGACATTATTCTAACCGACATTGTGTAGCACCATATTGCGTGAAATGTTGACTCTGCATCCTTTGCAGCCTGGTCATCCTGGAAGGCGAGGTGGATTCTCCCATCTGCGGACCCTTCTCAAGCCACCACCCCCCCATGTTTTTTTTTTCCTTGCGCTCCTGCGAGTGAATGAAATTAATATTTGTCAGCTGTGGTGAAGCCTTTTGAGACTTTGTGGCGATTAAGGCTGATATAAATTTGACTTGACTAATTATTCTGTGAAGCACATGCAGATTGACAGTATTTTCTGGAAGACTATTGGTGAATTATCGTTCTTGGAGTTTTTGGAATAAAGCCCGCACCAACCCCTTAAATCAAATACTGCATGTGCTGGATGACGCCTCCATTCCTGCACCATTGCTATAGCAACCGGTCAGCTGGGTCAATAATGTGGCCCAGTCTGAAAAGGGTCAGATCCCATTTGGAGACTTGCTAAAACAGTGTGGACAGTCAGCCCGAAAAATCAAATTTGAGGAGGAATCTGATTGGAATCAGAAATTCCTGCAGCCTGAACGCGTCTCAATATTGCATTGCATTTCTATTTTGAAAGGAGGTCAGGTGCCATTGTATTTGATTTGGGGAATTTGTGAATTCATCAACCATCGCAAATAGAGTGTGAAAATTAGCTTTGCATCGTCAAATAGAGCAAGCCATTGTCAATACTTTAGGTTGGTTAATAGTGAATAAAAATAACACCGACATGTTTGGACTGACCAATCATTGAGCGTTGTTAAAAACAAAAAAGGTATGGAATTTATCAAATTGTGACATTGGAGGTTCTGGCCCGTCGCCAGCAATATCTATATTTATATATGATCAGAATGTAAAGCATTGTATATTCCTTTCCCTCCTAAAAAACAAAAGACAGTCAAAACAGTCAATCAGATTCAGCAAAAAAATTCAAATTTTCTCTACATCATGTACAATAATTCAAATGATTCGAACAATCATTTTGATTTTTCTTGAGTGTGACAGTTCATTTGTGTGTGTGGTTAAGGTTCGTCAGCTGGAGAGAACTGTGAGCTTGCGGGACTTGTCCATCGTAGAGATGGAGGGGAAGATGAGGGAGATGTCAGCAGCCACATATGATGGCATCTTTGTGTGGAAGATCTCCGATTTTACAAAGAAGAGGCAGGATGCTGTCGCTGGCCGAGCTCCTGCGATGTTCTCTCCTGGTAATTATCCGAAGATAAGCATTTCGATTATTGTTGAGAGGCTGATGAGTCTTTCTTTTTTGATGCAATAACATACATTCTCATGTTTTCTAGCCTTTTATACCAGTAAATATGGCTACAAGATGTGCTTGCGTATTTACCTAAATGGAGATGGGACAGGAAGAGGCACCCATTTATCTCTGTTCTTTGTGGTGATGAGAGGACACAGTGATGCACTCCTTAAGTGGCCTTTTAATCAGAAGGTAACACTTATATACTAAGTAAAATGTCATCCATCCATCCATCCACTATCCGAATTAGAGGGTCGCGGGCGTACTGGAGCATATCCCAGTTGTCAGGGTACACCCTGTACTGGTTGCCAGCCAATCACAGGGCACACATAGAAAAACAACCATTCACACTCACAATCACACCTAAGGACAATTAAGAGTGATCTATGAACCTACCAGGCATATTTTTTGAAATATGGGAGGAAGACCGGAGTGCCCGGAGAAAACCCACACAGGCACTGAGAGCCCGGTGAGATATAAAATGTGTGTGTGTGTGTGTGTGTGTGTGTGTGTGTATAGTAACCTCGGTTTTCGTGCATAATCCGTTCTAGAAGGCTGTTCGAAAACCGAAACATCGCTCTTTTTAAAATAAAAATGTTTATTGAACACGTTTGCTCACAATGGAAAGCGTCACTTCCTCGTCTACCCGAGGAAGCGTCACTTCCTCGTGTAAGGAAGGCGAGAGGAGTCAACTGGTGCATTCAAGTGCGCTCAGTTTGTTCGAGAACCGAAATTTGTTCGTCATGCGAGCCATAAAAAACTCAAAATTTTTGGTCGAAAACTGAATTGGTCGAGAACCGAGACGTTCGAAAACCGAGGTTTGACTGTATATA